ACTTCGATCATCTTCTAACAGAAAGGCTGCATTAGTCAATGGTGGAAAATATAAAAATAATGCATTTTATTACTTCAGCCTGACATCAAAGTATTGTGTGAGAATTCAGCGTCTTTTTCTATTTTAGTCTTCTGACCCAGACTCTACCAGGAGCTAGGGTTAAGTGTGAAGTGTGAAGCGTGCACCTACTGCAGGTTTCTGGTAGCCTAATGACAGATGTGCAAATGGTGTACGTGTAAAACGTCTCTGTAGGCACATGAGTATGTAAGCAAAGCGGGGCAGCAGGCACAGGAATTTCGTCATGTATATCTTGGCTAATTGATGCTTAAAGCGTGCTCTCCTACAGTCCATCCTATTACGCTAAAGCAGTGCTGGTCAAATGTTTCACTGAGTGTCACCCCCATCAAAAAAAGGTTTTTAGACAATTTTCTCTATTTTCTCTATTCTCTATAAAGGGTAAATATTTGCAAGAAACAGAGCTTGGTTCACAAAAAGACTCCGTGATGCCACTGGGACCCCCTGCTGAGGCCTGAGCTGCCACGCACTGATTTTTAATTAAGCCCAAGAGGAATTCTGATCCTCTTGGATCAGATACATTTTTTCTCTTTTTTAAATGAAAAAAGACTTTATATAGTATCTTCCCTTTGATAAGTGAGAAAGAAAAGAAAAACACGAAAGAGCTGAGTCAAACTTTAGGTCACTGAGTGTTTGTAGGTTTCCTGTCAAACAGAAGAATCCTTGCTATAAATTCTAAAAGTATTTAATAGACATGCTGAAAAAAGATTTCATTTCATGACTGCCCAAAGCCTATCACAAAAATAGTATGCAGCATCCACTCACCATCCTGTCTCATTTTCCTTCTAAATTATCTTCCAAGAGTACTCAGATCTCCACATTACTTACCAGTCCTAGGCTGGTCTTTAAAAAATAAATAAATAAATAAATCTCTGCTTCGTCTATAGAGGAAAATTGCTGTTTTGTTAAAATGAGATTCGGAGTTGGATTTGTTGTACATGAAGGGAAACAATTGAGGTATTTTCATGTACAGCAAAGGCAACACCTTTTGCTTTCAGAGATGTATTTCCATTTCAGGCTGATTTCGGAGCAAATTATATCCTTAAAGCAGCCAATTCATAGGTACTTTGAATGTGATTTTTTAAAAATAAAATTTGTCTTTGTCTAGTGTTAATTAGTACAAAGATGGCCTTATTTTCAAAACCAAGAACATTGTTTTCAAACAGTCTTCAAAATACTTTCATTAAAAATTATTATATATGTTAGAAGTAACACACTCTAAAGCATTCAAACAATTCAAAGGCAGACAAAGTAGAAAAACAAAGTCTCCACCTAACTATCCCCTAATAGGTTACTATTCTTAACACACTTATTAAAAAGGGCAAATAGTATTGTCCTCAGCCTTTCAACAGCAGGAAGTCAGGAAAAGATTACTTTTAAAAGTCTTTACAACTTCTTCATAATTAAACACACACACAATTCATTATAAGCTTCTCACTAGAAAACAAGCAAAACAGTGAGCAAGAAGAAATGATCTCAATATCTGAAGTCAAAGTGTTATTTTTTTCCAAGGAGACACTTTAGAATTATGTTGTTCTCCCCTCCAAATAAAAGGTTACAGACTAACATCAAGAAGCAGCTGCCCTTGGAAGGTCAATCAATCACCTGGTGTCAGTAAAATCCAAAATATAACAAAACACTGACAGCAAAACACACAGAACACTCAAAGAAAAACCAGAGCCAGCAGACAAGAACAGACACAAAGCTGTTCTTCTTCCCGCAGTCGGCCCAAATGACCAGGAATCGCAGCACTAGTCCCGCATGTGAGCAGTAAGCATGCAGAGACACCCTCTCAGCGGCAGCGGCGGCCAACAGACTGCACGTCTGTCCAGTAACCGGGATGGACACAGCAAGTACGGACTTCCTGCGAAGGATCCTGACTGATCTGACACTGCCCCCAGCAGACGGGAAACCTGAGGCTATCAGACAGCGAGCGGCCACACAAATCAGCAAAGGCAGCCCTGGAGGGAGGCCACAGACTCCAGCCCCAGCCAGGAATTCAATTAATGAAGGCAGAGACTCCTTTTGCATTTTTCAAAAGAAAGCGTGTGTGTGTACACACGAGTGCGTGTGGACCTGTGTGCCCGCACGCATGCACGACCTTTCTAGAAGACTGACTTCTGAGAACTCGGGATGAATACGGACACAGTGGAAATGTTGCTCCATCGCACAGCAGGGATTCCTTGAACAAGTCCTCTTCGCGTATACCAGTGAATAAATGGACTGACATCCACGCCCTCATGAAGGTGATACTTTAGTAGAGGCCAGTAGAAAATAAGTAAGATAAATAACATACATGAGGGGGCAAGTGTATATTTACAAGGTGGACAGGAAAACCCTCGCTGAGAAAGCGACATCTGAGTAAAGACCTGAAGGAAGGTAAGGACCCAGTCTAAGATGCTAAGACATCCATAAAAACAGGCTTAAGGCAATTTAAGTGTAGACTAAACTATGACTTCCATGCCATGAACAAGAAATGCAAAACAAACTTAACCCCCAAAATGCCCCATCCCTACCCTTTCACAAATGACTGCAGCAGGCGTAGCAGCTCAGAGAGACAAGTGAACAGAAAAACCTCATACAGGATGACCAGAGCAATCGAGTTCACTCAGAAATCGCCCTGGCTTACACAGTTCACAGGGCTGACACGCCCACTCGGCGCCTCAAAGACACCGCTCTTCATCTGCTCGCCAACAAGAGGGTCTTTCAGGGACTCCAGTCCTCTTGTTAGCTCTGCTGTGATTAGGCTTCTCAGAGCAGCAGCCTGACTAGGTGGGCAGCAGCACATTCTGGACAGTTGGGTGGGTGGGGGCGGTAGGGGGAGGGTTAGGGGACAAGTTGCTGAGCCCTGTAGCATGACAGGGAATAGGGGGAGTGGGTAAAATCATCATTTAAGGGGAGGAGAGCCGATGAACAGAAAATGAAGGAGAAGGCTGGAATTATACCAGGACTTCAGGCCTGAGGCAAATGGATCAGGAATGATTTCTGAGAATTTGGATCAAATCAGAGGAAAACAGCAGAGTACAATATCCATTCTGGTTGGCCGGGGCCAGCAGGACTAGGGAACTCAGAGTCCCCAAGCACAAAAAGGACACCGAAGCAGGGGTACCGCTGAAAAAGACCGGGTACTGAGACTTATTAAACAGGTGTCAGAGGCCAAGCCAGAGGGAGCCGTGGGAACCGGAGCTCAGAAAGGCAGGCATCAGGTACAAGCCGAGAGCTCTAGGCTCCCATACAAGCACCGTGGGTTTGTAAAGCCTACGAGACTCACAGCCTGCAGCCCACCCTCGCATAAGTGGCTTGCCAGTGGAGGGGAAGGTGCTACCGGGCTGGGCTCTGCTGGCCCTTGTGACTGAGGACCACAGCCGGGGCAGGGCGCTGCCTCTACCCACTACATTTGCCCTTTCTCTCAGCTACTTGCATCCGCCTCGTAGATGATGCTTTCTCGCTCGCTCTCTCCACACGCGGGCGCGTGCGCGCTCTCTCTCCTCCTTCCATTCCCAAACTTTAACTCCACAAGTGTTTACAATTCAGGAAGGAATAATTTTGTAAGAATTCCCTCCATTTCCTTCCTAATCAGAGCCCAGAGGCTACCCTAGCTGAGGAGTTGTCCCTCACCATCACCCCCAATAGTAAATGCTTAGCGATGGCAACACCGCAGGCACCTGCTGGAGGGCAGCCCTCAGTCTCCAGCTCAGCCTTCTGGCATGATCTACATCACAGGAAACAAGACGACTGCAGCTTTAAGTTACAAAGATGGATACTCAATACTCTTTAGAAATCAGTATCTATCCTGAAGTCCTTCTTCAATTTCCTATCCCTTAAAATTTGAGGAGGACTATTCACAGAATTGCTGAGAAACATTAAATCCTGTATTTTTAAAAAGTAGAAAGATAAATACAGATGTCAATGGTCACAATTCCAGTTCTTGAATGTGGCACAGTTTCCAGAATCCAGCAGATATCAGATATGAAGTTAATTTAAATAAAATGGCACAGTGAGAAAAAAGGCAATCTGAACCAATACTGGCAAGATCAGATATTGAATAATTTTTTACATCACCCATTTTAATGAAGCGAAACCAGTATTAAATAAAAACACTAGTAAAAAAATGTTTCAATAAAAATTCAATTCATTTTATTCTCTAAAGACAAACAGTTCAACTCTCAATACCTTTTAGGGATTCCCCTGAAACATGCCTCTCTTGTATTATGATGAAAATTCGTCAGCTGTTAACTTTGAAGCAAGCTCGAGTTAAGGAAAGAAGCCCACCTTCAAACACAAATCAATGCACCTTCAGATGCACAGGTCAACAGATGGTCATTACCTCATCAGCCATTTCTGTGGATACTGCAATAATGTACTGACAGTGTAAAAAAATTTAATAAGTAAACAGTTTCCTTTTAACTGTTAAACTTCTCAATGCAACAGTGAATAAGTACTAGTTCCACCGTGAACTATCATTTGTTAATTTATAGGAAGTTTAGCTTTTGTACAGATTTTGAGGCTCTCCCTCACAAACGCTGAGGAACGTGTCGCTGACTGGCCGGCCTCTGCCGCTGCCGCCCTGACATGCGGAACCAGACGTGCAGTCCCACCACGGCAGCCACGGGAGGGCTTCCTCCCACCGCATGTGCTGCATCTTCCCCAAATCTCAACACTAATACTTTCGCTGAGCCCAATTTTTATCTTTTAGCTTATGACGCCCTTCTATTTCACTTATTTCTAGTTAGGTTCAGGTTTTTGTGAAACAAGCAAGATCTGAAAAAACTATAGTACTTAATTTTAAAATGCATTTAAAAATAAAGATGTGACCATAGTTCTATTACCCTGATTTGTTCTTCCCATCACCCCGTACTAATGACCATAAAGTAAAGCGCTCAAGAGCTAGTAAGGGCTAGTAAAGGTACCGCTCAAATACTCACCAGGAGTAATGGTCTCCAGCGTGTCAGGACTGACCTTCCGTGTGCTTGTACAGTGATGGAGGGTAGAGCCCGAAAACACCAAGTAAAACACTACATCATCCTCAACTTTGTCCTCTTCCGCGAGCAGCACAGTAACAACGCAATCGCCCTGGGAAAAGGAAAGGTGGAGCAAGGCTGCATTAGTAAGGTTCCTTTGGGAGTCTACCTTCACTAAACATCAAAATGAAGAGAAAATCAAATGCGTCATCTAAACTGGGCCATTGTGGAAGGTTTACACAAATATAAACCCTGATTGAACACTTAGATACCAGGAAGTATTCTAGGCACTGAGAATACAAAATGACCTAAAAATAAGATTTTCTGTCCTCTTTAAATTTACATTTTATTGCAGGTGGTGAGATAAACAAGTAAACTAGCAAGATAACAGATAGTATATTTATTTGATGAATGGGGGAAAAGGGAGAACCCAAGGAAAATCCAAAACTAAGGCAGAGAGGATGGAGGAAGTATACTTAGGAGTTACGGCCTGGACTCAGAATTGCCTTAAGCTCTGTGTTCCAGTTGCAGCAATATTGCTCTAAATTCTACATCCTAGAAAGCCACGCTAACCTACCCACTCTCCCGCAAGGGTGGGGCCTCCCACAGAGCGCCCGGTAACAGTGCGGTGCAAAGAGCGTAAGCTTGGCCAAGCACTTGACGGAAATGCCTTCTCCCGTTACAGCTAATAGCAGGTAGGGGAAAAGGAGCTTCACAGTCGTGAGTACAAAAAGCACAGCTTATTCTTCTATCATATTTATTGATTATTGTATTATTTTCCATAGGAACAGCTGAAAACCTACTTCTGCCCCACCATGTACGTGAAAACTCTTGGAACATACACAGCTTTATTATCATATTCTTATTCTATGGGGATGGGAGGGTCACTTTTCTCACAACTTGTGTTTCCTGACCGTCTGGAATCCTACTCCTCTTTATCCACCCTGCCACCAGACCTCCAGATCAGACACAAATCTTGGCCCAGTAACCTTGCCCGTGACTCTGTGATTATTTGGAAATATTCTTTTAGCAGTTTTATAAGTTAATTTTTTTTTAAATTGAGTTCAGTAGCTAAATTAAACATATTCTATGAAATACAGTCCTATCATTCTCCCAATCATAAACATTATACAATTCATGTTGTAACCGTAAACAAAAAATTTTAAAGCACTAGGCTTTAAAGTAATGAAGTTCAGTATTATATATATCTTAATAATGCACTATGGAAAAACCAATTTAGAGAAAGCCGTGCCTTTTTAGTATTAAGTCTGGAGAGAATTCTCATTACTTACAGTATGCGTCCCCCTGTCCACTTTAGCAACAAGAAGGCTGGGCCAATAAGAGAACCATGCCACCCTGTGGCCACCATTTCCCAAGACCAGCAGCAGAACAGAACAGCAGGAAGTGTTTTACCGAACACTGAAAACAAAAACTCTTCAAGTCAAACCTAGGATCAAGCCCATTAACAGAAACGCTCCAATAGGCTGACTGTGGAAAGAGAGTTCAAAACATTTCCCAAAGCCCTGTACACAGGAGGTGCCTAAATCCACTGAACACAGCGAGCAAGAAATTACATTAGCTGTAACTTACAATAAATGCTGAACTGGAAAATTCCAAAGCACCCTCACTCCAGATTAGCATAAAATTCGGCCATTAAAGTGATCCTTTAGATGTGTCTATAAGTCCCTTTCTTCGAAACATTTCTGAAAAGCTTAGGCTGGTAAATGTTTAATATCTTTTGACAGATAAGCCATGACCAGCTAAAAGCCCGCAGCACATGAGAAAAGCCAATTTCTCAAGGTACTGAAATACCATTGCAACCTGAAGAAAAGGTGCAAATCACAGTTCTAAAGCTCCACCCCGAGAGCACAGACAGGCTGACCAACTATGCCCGATGGGCCAAATCCAGCCCCTCGCTCGTTTTCATCTGGTGCACAGCTAAGAAAGGACTTAACATTTTTGAATGTTTGAAAAAAAAAATCAAAAGAGAATATCTTTAACATGTAAATATTATATGACATTCAAATTTCAGTGTGAATAAATAAAGTTTTATTGAAACACAGTCACACCCATTTGCTTCCACACTGCCTGCTGTTAGAATGGGCAGAACACAGCGAAGGTGGGTGGTTGCCACAGAGACTATCCCGCCCTTAGAGCTAACTTATATACAATGTGGATTTTTACGGAAAAAAAAATTTTTCACTTAGACATCTAACCTGGAATTCTAAGAATATAACTTTCCTTTTTAGACCAAGGATTTTCCCTCCAGGCCTTCTTTTAATTGGGAACAGGGGAGATAGCTAATAGGCAGTTGAAATCCTTTTAACAAAGTTCTCAATATCAATCTCTTTTTTCATTCCCAAGACTAAAGTAAGTTTCAAATTGTTTTCATAGCTTTAATAGTTTCTCTTTTTCACATTAAGTCAAACTGCCCAAAATGTAAAGTACAATAGAATGGAACACAGAAGGCCCAATCACTTTAAAGTCAATTGAGATTTAGATTACAAAGACACTTGGAATGAAAGCACCTCTTTTCCCTGGAGTATTCTCTGCATTCCGATAAAGTCACTGGGAGCAAACAACAAAAACTATTCCTCTGCATTTCCCAGCATGACTCCGATTTTACTGCAGAAGTGCCAGGCACCTAGTATTACTTGAGTTGCCCTTGAAAGATTAAGCAAGGGGAATGGTGATTAAAAATAAAAATGAAAAACAGATCTAAGTAATAATTTTTGCTGAGGTGGCTGCGCTGATTCCACCCTCCTTCAGGGATATCCTTGGTAAATGAGTCTGCTGCCCAAAGGAAGGACCAGCCCCACACAATAAACAGATAAATCAATCTGACTGCCCAATTAAAAAGTCTGTCATGTTTATAACTACAACAGATAAACTTACTAACAAAAGCAACTGCCAAGATGTTCTTGATTAAAATTTTAGTTTGACCCTACCCCAGGGAAGAGAATGCATCTTTGTCTCTGTTTCTCCAGTAATATAAACTCAAGAAACAGAGTGCTATCCTTACAAAGATATTTCCCATGTTTCTTCATTAATGAGAAAGGTATCCTTGAGCCTGACAATTTTTTTAGGGTCTTAATTAGTTTTGTTGACAGGTGACACAAAACAAATAGAAAAGAAAATCTAAACTAGGCCCCATTTTCTAAGTATAGGTGATCCCCAAAATATAGCACTGTGGTCTAAAATGCCATCAATCAATTACTTATTTGTCAATAAAAACAGAGTTTTAAATGGTAGCTAGGGTCTCAGTTTTCCCTTCTTTAACTCATTTATATAATACTATATATTGTATTAATAATACTGTAATCACCTTTACATATACTTATCAATAAGTGGGGGGGGGAAAACCTTTTTTTCCCGCACTTATATATCTAACCCAAAATTCTAGTAATAGATCGTCTTTTCTTAGATCAAGGTTTTCTTCTTGACATGAAGCCCAACTTCCTGCTGGCAGACTCTCCATGCCCCAAGATGCCGGTTATGTCTGAGGCCTTCCTTTAGCTGGGGACAGTACTTAATTACGGGTAAATAAAATGACGAAGAAAAAGACATCTGAGGGACAGGAGAAAGTGCACTACATGCAGGGTGGGGATGGGTGGGGGAGAGAATACCCTGGACACAAGATGTTAGATGGAGAGCAGGGACACGAGATAGTTAGGAAGTTTTGTGAGGGGGATGCTAAAAGAAGAGACAGCACTGATGTCTTAGATTGTAAGACGGTGTCAAACATCAGGGTTTGAAGGCAGGCCCCACGAGCGGCAACACAACCACAGCGGTGTGCTGGACCAGGCCTGCATAGGGTGCTAAGAGGTGATGACTGTGTTTTCAGGAATTCTGAAAGCCAGCTGCTAAATGCAGCCAGCATTTAAAATTAAATTATATAAGCTTACAATTAGATTGTTAAAACAAAAGTAATAAATACTCCAAACTCGCCACTTCTTCATTATCCTATCACAGCCGCTGCATCTGCCTGCTGGGCACTCTGTTCTCAACAGCGAGCTGCTTGCTGCACAGTTTCTACCAGGGCGCGGCTCTTGCCAGCACTGCATTCACTGACGTGGCATTGGTAGCCTGAAGTCAACCATCATGGGAGCATTTCTAACACTGAAATTGGCAAATGTTACAAATGAGAACTTCCTTACAGCTTCGCACTCATCACACCACTGAGAACAGGTCGGCAGCAGACATCCAGGTTTGCCACGGCAGGCCCGATCAGGAGGGGCCCGTGGTGATGAGGCAGGACGGTGAGGGCTTGCTATTGTGAATACCAGCGCAAACCCGAGGCAAGCACAAAGCCGCTTAGGCTGCAGATAAACAACGCTGCCACAGTTCCGCTCACAGATGCTCAATGTTATCACCACCTTAAGTCAGTTTGTTTTCAAACTCTCAAATTTGGCCTATAACTTGCCAGCATACCACAGTGGTTAACAGGACACTCTCTGCCTGCCTCTCGGTATGGTACGTCACTTTCTAGCTGTTTAACCTGGGCCATGTTAAATTCTCTGTGCCAAGAGAAGACGACAATTACACGCATCTCATCAGGTTGTTTCAAGAATTAAGTGATTGATAAAAATAAAGCGCCTATGGCAGTGCAAGCACATAAGAAATGTTCAATAAACATTAGTTGCAGTAGATGTAATGTGTAATAGATGCAATAGTGCAGCACAGTACTATAGTTCTAACTAGTTAAGAACACTTTATTGCATACTTGAAAGTCGCTAAGAGAGATCCTCAAAGTTCTCATCACAATAAAATGTTGTAATTGTAGGTGGTAATGGATGTGTTAACTAAACTTATTGTTGTGGCCATTTCACTGTAAACACATACACCAACTCATTATGCTGTATACCCAAAACAAATACAATGCTATATGTCAATTATCTCAATAAATAAATAACTTATTATTGATCAGAATTAAGCCCCATAAGAGCATGTTTTATTCACCAAAATATCCCCTCTGTCTAGAATAAGTAGCAGATGCTCAAAACACACATTTGGGAAAAAGAAAAAAGAAAAGGAGACATCAAAAGTGTAATAGCACTTATTCCTAGATGGTGGCTGAGTCCAATTTTAATATACTCCATGCTTTCCCGTGTT